GGGCGTATGCCCGCCTCACATCATCATACAACGTTGTAGATGGGACTGAGGACGTCATAACCGCAGCAGTGACTGTCTCACTGTTGGGTTTCGCGACTGTTTCAAAGTCGGGACGACGTGAGAGTGCATCAGCGACGACATTAAGTCGTCCTGGTTTGTACTCGACCGTAAAGTTGTATTCTGCAAAGAATGACAACCACCGCGCCATTCGTTGTGAAAGGTGCGGGCTGTTCACTGCCGTACGTAATGACGCATGGTCAGTGTAAACAACGAAGGGTCTATCTCCTAATAGATAGACTCTGAACTTCGCGAGTCCATACTTCATGGCAAGGAGTTCCTTTTCATGCACTGGATAGTTCCGCTCAGCTGGTTGCAGCTGACGCGACTGATAGCAGACGACGCGTTCAACGCCTTCAAGATCGTACTGCATTAATGCACAGCCGATTGCGAAATCGCTGGCATCACAGACCACATGAAATGGCCTGTCCTGATCGGCTATTGCTAGGACTGGGGATTGTATCAAGCTCTGCTTGATACCCTCAAAGGAGCGTTGACATTCAGCGTTCCATAACCACCTCTCGTTCTTTTTCAACAAACGAGAGAGGTGCACAGTCATCTCGGCGTAATTGCGTGAATACTTATGCAAATACGCCGCTAGCCCAAGGAATTTTCGAAGACCTTTGACATCGACCGGCACAGGCCAGTCGGTGATCGCCTTGATCTTTTCGGGATCAGGACGTACACCGTTCTTACCAACGATGCACCCAAGAAGTGGTATTTCGCTTGCTGCAAATATACACTTCTTGAGGTTTGCATACAATTGATGCTTTCGCATGATTGTAAGAACTTGTCGGACGTGGTACCTGTGAACCTCAACGTCCGACTTTCCATCCATAGCTCGACTATGGATGAATACGTCATCGAAATAACTCGGCGCGAATTCTCGTACTGGCCTCAACAGATGTGATACACACCTGTTGAACGTGGCAGGGGCATTACTGAGCCCTTGTGGCATTACTAGCCATTCCCAGAGCATGCCGCTAGGCGTGCTAACTGCGGTATAGGGTATATCCCGTTCCCGCATTAGGATTTGATAGAAGCCATCCATCAAATCCATGGACGAAAAGATGGTACTCTTTGACATACCATCAATGATTACGTCCTTCCTCGGTATCGGCGTCTGAGCCGGTACCGTTGCAGCGTTCAATTTGTTGAACGCGTGCACTATCCGCCACCCTCCTGTTGCTTTTCGCACACAGAAGGTCGGAGAGCTATGTGGGGAAGTTGATTCCCTCACATGGCCCGCTGCTAAACGATCGGCAAAGAACTTGTCGATCGCAAGTACTTGTTCACGAGGCAGTGGCCACTGCTTCATGACACAGTACTTCGAGCCTGGTTTAAGCTCGACTTCGTGTCGAATACCTTTATCCTTCGGTAATTCGCACGGAACAGTTTCAGGGAATACATCCTTGAATTCAACCAAATCTTCATAGAGAGGATTTTCCTTGAGCGATTCCCACGATTGGGAGTCATATCGCTCAATTCGTGTCTTTTCATCTAGGACACTCTCGTCCATAGATGAACTACTGAGAACTCTCTCGTTCTCAGTAAACACTGTTGCTGACCTTATGTCGGTTACACACTCGTCGTCAGCGACGAGTATGCAGATCTGCTTGACTTTGCCACTACGCAGATCACGCAAGAACCTTTTATGTTCGAGCGTTGGCAGCTGAGTGATCTCCGAAGTTAACTTCGGAGGCGCAATCAGATCAAGTGTATAAGCGCCTACACTTGATCCGTTATTGACTATGACATTCAATGTCTCTGTCATTTCCTGGGGACTTATTCCCTCAGGCTTCGAAGGACTTATTCCTTCGTCTTCCCGGGGACTTATTCCCGCGGGTTTCGGGGAACTTATTTCCGCCGTATTTGTAATCTTGGGACTTATTCCCTTTACTTCCTCTAGCTGGGGTTGCGCAACCACAGCGAGATCCTCTACGAAAGACTCTCCAGTCGATCTAGGATTATCGTTTCGCCTAACCTGAGCGATCGATTGTTTCTCTTCTAGATGTTCCCCTCTAGGGATACATCTTTGTCCCAGTCCACCCGACTTATTCGAGTGGTGGACCTTCGGCGCAGCCTGTGTTTCCTCACAGCCGCCGGAACTTTGCTCCGAAGTGTAACCGTTTGATGCACTAAGGTTTTGTGCAGTCGTACTAACGACCGTACCACAAGTGAGGCCATCGCACTCACTCGTAGTACATCCACACGCTTGTGGACGCTCCAAAACGTTCATCAGATGACCATCTAATGAACAAGCGGCAGGCATCGTTACTGTCCGATGTTGCCAGTTTACCCGTGGTTCGTACCTTCTGAGCCACGGTATTCCAAGGATGACATCAAATTTGTCATCCAAATCCAATACGATAAAGTCATCGTCATATTGGGTATCTTCTAGCGTATAGCGAATCTTCACTATACGCTTCATGACGGTTACGGATGCGCCTGTCGCAAGACGAACCGTCATCCTCGTAGGAGGTGTGTCACATTCACTGAATTTAAAGTGACCATCTTCTAGCGATTGGCGTTGCACAAAATTGTTGGACGCCCCACAATCGACTAGAGCTCGAAGGGACAACTTATTCGTCACTTCGAGTTTCAAGGTAATGAGTGAGATCTCATTACCTAGAGCAGCAACGCACAACGTCTGTGTGTTGGGAGCAACCTTCATCAAGAGGCCTACAAATTCTCTTGACGTTGCTGGATCAGTAGGGTGCTCCGCACCTACTGATCCTGTCCGTTTTTTGACGGTCCATCCCGTTGTTGCGTCTTTGCACCAACAGCGGACCCTCGTCCCTGCCCCTTTCTCATGGGTGGACGGTCACTACGCCCAGTGTCGCGAGACACTGGACGAGGGGCACTACACTCGTAAGCGTAGTGTCCTGTCTTCTGACATCTGTTGCATCTCTGCAACTTCTTGTAGCCTGTAGAGCGAACCTTCTCGCTCTCTACATAACAGAGTTCCATCGGCTCTGGACCTCCGTTGTCATATCGTCTCGGTTGACGATATGATGTCGAGCTGGCGCGAGCCTGTCTCAGACTGAAGTCTTCCTGCTCCGCAATGGAAATGGCTTGTTCTAGTGAATCTAGTTCAAGCCGGAACAGGTGAGTCTTGACGGGACCATCCGCAAGACCCTGCATGAACACCGAAACTAACGTGTGTTCATCCACCGGATTGGAACTTATACAACTCGTGAGATGTCGTATATGTTGAGCGTAAGCGTGCACATCACGCTTACCCTGCTTGAGCTTCAAGAGTTCGGTTCGAGCCCTGAACTCAGCTCTGGGCGGTTCAAACGTTTGTCTGAGCCGCGACTTGAAGACTTCCAACGACCCAAACGCATATGGGTCGTGCAGCTTGAGCCCCAGTGCCCAAGTCTTGGCACGTCCTGCCAGATTTGATTGGGCAAATGCAACTTGCATATCCCCGTCGTCGATGCGACGCGCCCTTATGGCGTCATCCAATTCGACGAACCATCTCAAGAGGGAGTCTTCTTCGACCCCCCTATACTTTGAGATGTCGATCTTCAAAGTCTCGGGTCGACGCAAGTGCATCGACCCGCCAGCAGCAGCCTGCTGCTGTCTCAATAGTTCAAACTGTTGAGCACCTTGTTCTCTCAACAACTCTGCTTGTTGAGAACCTTGTTGGTGAAGCAAGGCTACTTTCTCGCGTTCAGCGTCAAGTTCATTTTGGATGAACTTGGCGATAGTAGCATGTTGGGCGTCTCTATTGAGAGCCTCTAGCATGACGCTAACAGCATGGATGCCCATGGTCGAACCCATTCGTTCAACCGCATCCCATTCGACATCGCTCAAATGGGAGTAGCCGTCACGCGTAGCGTGAAAGCTTTGGTCATCTTCATCATCCAACATATTCATGTTAGATGTGAACGTGGTCCTTGGACGGACTACGAAGTGCTACCAGGTGTAACGGGGCACCCTGAAGCTTGTACTGGTGACAGTACAAGCTACTTATTCTGATAACAGAATAAGGCGGTGCCTCGTAACTTCACGTACACTCGTACGTGCAGAGGAAGACGGTAAGAAGAAGGGAGTACTTGGTTAGAGTAAAAAGTAGAACTGTATTTATAATAGTTAATGTCTGCAATAAATCACTATTTATCTTCATCTAACTATGTCTAAATACAAATGTGTAAATCAGTTATCTGCTCACCACTCATTGCGTGCGTCTGTCGTGGCGCGTCTTCGTTGGTTGATATAATGGCCTATATCAACCAATTAGGAACTACTTGTAAGTGCTGCAGAATATTTGTCCTTATGACAATATTCTGAGAATATAACTCTTATAGTTATATTCTATTAACAATTTCTTATAAATTGTTATGTAACGATTCACCCCGTTACATCCAGCGACCGACTTCTGGTCGATTTATCGCACCAAATGTCGTCCCCGACTTTACGTGCAAGCGGTGTTGGTGTACATATGAGCAGATCCATAACACCCACATCGTAAATCTCAGTAAGTCGGACCAAACATATCGCACAAGAAATCGTTGACGCTGGGTAGATTATGTTTACGTTATGATCAGAATATCCTTGGCAACCAATGTCTGAACCATGTCCACAAGTCACGAGCTTCGAAGGATGCAGTATCCAATCATCAAACCAAATTTGTGCTCCTCAGGCGTATAAGAGCTGGCTACACTTCACACGTTTAACAAGTTTTGTACGCCGTGTTTACTGCTCCCATCGCTGCTGTCAATGTGGACACCTCAAAAAAATTAGCAAGTTATTGCGTTACACACTTGAGTCGATCCATTAAATGCCTTGTGCAACATTGTACGACTCGAATAGGGACCTGGCACGAGCTATTGCGAATCGATGAAAGTTACAAGTAATATGTTCATAAATAAATAGTGATACTACTATCCTAGGTTTCTCGTGCAAGTCGCTACGACCTGCACTTCTAACAATGACGGCTACTTTTCGTACACGACACACGGCTCTGTCTGGGTCTGTTTGTCGTTTGCATCTTCACCAATAACGTTCGTGTGTACATCCGTTGATGGCTGTGCTGCTCCACTTTCAATTCTTCCGGCATCTGTTGTGCAAAGCGACATTGTCGATGGAATAACACTTCCAGAGTCACCACCTGCAACTGTCGAGACTTGTTGCTGAAGCAGCTGGGGCGCGATGAAGGATCGCAGCTCAAAGGCGACCTCCATAGCAGTGGGTCGAGCAGCAGGGTCCAGACTCAGACACCGTTGTGCGAGTGCACGGATTGGCGGTGGGCAGTCGTCACGGAAACTGGGCAGCAATTTGCCTTCTGACACAAGATGGACGATCTGCATGCTGCGCATTCTGGCGTGACGACTGAATCCATACGGCAGAGCACACGTGTCAATCTCCGACAGCACCACCCCGAATGAAAAAAGGTCGCTCTTCTCGTCGTAGCGCTTTCCTTCCAATACTTCTGGTGCACTCCAAAGGATGGTACCGATGCCGTTGGTCATCGTGTCTTCAATCGACTGTTCACGGCTAAGCCCGAAATCACTTAGCTTTGCGCGCAGTCGTCGATCGAGCAGCACGTTTTTGGACTTGAGGTCACGATGTATCACGATCGATACAAGGGAATGTAGATATACCAGCGCCTCAGCAATGTCACTGCTCAATGTTAACTTTTCCCTGCTCCAGCTCAGCTCCTTCCAAGCAATCGGGTTCGCCAACAAACTCTCGAGGTCGCCGCGCGGCATGTATTCCGTCACAGCACACAGATGCAACAGTGATTGCCAGGCAACGCCGCAAAATGCCACGATGCGAGGATGTGCGAGCAGCGAAGCCATCCTGATCTCCTCTGCAAATCGTTCCAGCGCCTCCGGGTCCTCGCGTTTTACTGGCAATAAACACTTCATTGCCACGTAACGCGTTTCATACTGACCTAACCAAACTTCACCACTGCCTCCTTTCGCGAGCAACCTTAAAAAGTGAAGCTGCGCAAACGAAATGCGTCGTGTCACAATGGCAGGATCCGACACGAAGGCACGCAAGATCGTGCTCTCACGACACAACTGGTCATTCGATAGCGTGATCTCAGCACGCGTGGTCGCCACAAGAGCAGGCGTCCCGCGTACACCTGGAGAGCGTCGATTTCGTAGCTGAGCACCAAAGAAAACCTCCATTGGCGTAAGCCGTTCTTCTTCAATCACCGACGAACCAAGCGGTCCTCCCATAAGATGTGAATTTGGAGACCAGCAGCCATCATCCCACGACCGTTCAAGCATCACCTGGTCGTACGCATTCTGTAACCGAGCACGTGAGCGACTCAACCAGCAGACTGAGATGGCCAAAGCTACAGAAATCAGCACAAAGGCTGCCAGCAGCCCAATTGCCAGGGTTGAAAAAGTCTTAGCTGACGGCATCGATTCGAGCTTCAGCCAAGCATCCATCAATGCCCCATGCGACGCTGGGCACAAATCAGCTTTCAACAAGCTGCTACTATTGTCGATGAAGCTGATACTGTCACTGCTTCTCATGACACGTACATTGTCTGCCATCCCTCGACATGGCACAATAAAGTCCGTGTATGGCTGACAAGACTCGGTCCCTGTAAATATGGCTTCAGATAGATGAACAGCAAACAGCGACCGACTGGCTTCCGTGCCTACGGCCGTATGTCGTCTCAGGACAGGTGCTGGAACGCTCGTACTGCGTCCATCTTCCGCCCAAACAACACTTTTTACCTGTTCTTGTCCTCCCATAGCTGATGCATACACTGCACACCTAGTCAGTGGTAAAAGCTGCATCAGTGGACAGCTTCCAGCCAAAAAGTGGCCAATACTTCCACAATTCTGCACCTCACAGGGACCTGCACTGCTGTTCTTTGCAAGTGTCTTGATCTCTGCAAGACTTGGCAGTAAATCCTCCATTCCCTTGCTACATGCAGTATAAATCTGCACAAGGGTCACGTTAGGTGCTCTCAAGGACGACGACGTCATTGAGGCTGAACTTGACGACGCGAATACAAAGCCAGAGTCCCACAGCAACGCGCGCTGCATGAATCCAGAGATCTCGTTCCAAGCAAGGGAATAGCTCGATAATCTGCTCGTGACAGCACTTGGTAGCTCACTGGAGCTGAGCGAGAGCTTCGCGGTAGAGTGGCCGGACTGCTCCAGGTCGTACAGGCGCATGACGAGGTCTCCAGTAGCCCGGCATTGTCCACAAAACAGCAGAAGACACAGGAGAACAAGTGTAGAGTGACAGGGTACAGAATAGAGACGATGTTGGTCGTGCGGCAGCTGGAACAAGGCGCTGTGCCGCCGCACCGGCATGCTGCAATTTGTTACAAGAGACACAATGTCACGCGTGAAGGCTTTAGAGTGGGACAATTGGTTTGAATGACTGATTGAGTGATTGAGTGATACAAAGAGAGCAGACGAGACATGTGAGACGCATCCTTCGATCGAAAAAGGATCAGAATGTACTTAACAGAACCGATAGAGGCGGAAACTGCGTGACGACCAGGACTGTACTGAAGATGGCTGCAGCATGGGCTTGTATTCGAATGAACTATGCTGCAGAGGTCAAGCTTAATCACTACCGGTGAAGCTGTTAGACCGATTTGCCATGAATTGCAACTTTCCAGTCTAGTATCGATATCTTTCATTTCGTTCGACCTTAAAGTCCATCAATAATGACAAATACTCGAGTTCGTGAGACTTCTCTGTCTTCGCTCGACGTCAAGCCGCGATGTGAGTTGTTTTGCAGCTGATCTCTACCAGCTCGTGAGATGAGACGATCTTATGAAGCAATGTCAGATTCACTACATTCGAGCTGCCACTGCATTTTAGCGTTGATCACGAGGGAAGTGCAACATCATGCTCTGGCTGACGGACGCCATCTGCTATGGCTACTGCATTGCAATTGCTTTTGCGTTGAGGTTTGGCTATCAGGAGTATGGAAATAAGGTTGCTCGTTCTCGAAGATCAGTTGATTTGTGTGATAGAAGCGCTATCGTCAACACGGAACAAACGAAAATTGACACTGATCTCTACATATACTCACTCGCAACATTCTTTCTTTCTGAAGTCGTGTTGCTACGCCTTATTACATTACCTCTACTACCACCACCACTATACCATTTTCTTCACAAGCCCAACACCACCGCTGAACTACTCCAAATTAGTCTCTCACATCAATTCTGCGATGTATCAGTCATTCTTGTGCAAGTCACTTCAACTTCAACTATACCTTGACGCTGCAAAGCTCGCATCGAACTTCACGCTGCGGGCGATATTGCGTAGCGTAAAGACGATTTCCAATGCGTTCGGTCGCTGGCTCGGGTCAAAGCTCGCACAAGCTGCAGTGAGTTGCTGCAGTGGAACTGGGCAATCCTCCCGTAGTTGGGGCGAGATCTCGCCCGACGTAGCCAAGTGCATAAGCTGCATGGAAGTCAAACGACGCTCTCGGACCTCTGCGTTGAGTGCAAAGGGAGGCAGACATGTGTCCAGCTCGGACAACACGATTGCGTAAGAGTACACATCCGCCTTCTCGCTGTAAGCTTCACCTCGTAGGATCTCAGGTGCTGTCCAAAGTAGAGTACCCACGCCATTAGTCATTGTGTCGTCCGACGACCGCTCGCGACTGAGCCCAAAATCGCTCAGCTTGGCACGCAGGTGGTTGTCAAGCAGCACGTTCAGCGATTTGAGGTCACGATGGATGATAATGGGCTCTCGGCCGTGCAGATACGTCAGTGCGTCGGCAATATCGATGGCTATCGCTAGCTTCTCTTTAAACCAGGAAAGCCCCTCCTTTCGTGCCGATTTTAACAACACGGAGAGATCTCCCTGCTCCATGAACTCCGACACGATGCAAAGGTCGCACGCACGATTCCACGAGAGACCCACAAAACGAACAATGGTCGGATGCTCCAGAGCCGACGCAATTTGGATCTCATGCGAAAACAGCCTGACGTCGCTTTCGTTGTAGCGCTTTTCCGGCAGCAGCTGTTTGATGGCCACAACTTGAGAGCCACAAGTGCCTCGCCAAACTTCGCCATTGGCCCCGCGTGCAATGAGCTTGTCAAAACTGAGGCTGTCGTATGCAATGCGCTTCGCTGTAATTTTCGCGTCGATACAGAAAGTTGCCAGCTCAATCGACCGCCGCTTGTTTATGGAGTTCCGCGGAGTACTCGGTCGGTAAACTGTACCACAATTCTTCTGCTGCGGCCGAGTTGTCACCATGCTGTCATAAATGGTAGGAGATGCCTCAACGTGTGTCTCATGCCATTTCTTTTGCACTGCTACAAGTACTCCGACGGCTGCCACAAGTAGGATGAGCAGTACTATCAGGATAATGGTCGCTCCATGTATATCCATGGCAGCTTTCTTAGTCGAGGCCACTGCATTTGCTGAGCTACTCGATGACATTGACTGGATCGAGATTTCGCTGTCGAGCCACAGGTCGACGAATCCACCGCGGTTAGGAAGACACCAGCTCTCCATCTCAGTATCGTACAGCTCGACACAGGGTGCGACAAAGAACGGCGTGTCCGGACATTCCTTGGTAGCGCTTGGTAGTGGTGCAACCTGATTGATCGTGAAGAGCACACCAGCCTCATGCGTATTTTTACCTGTTGAAGCAGAACCCACACTCGCATCAATATCATCCGACCCAGAGCTGTTGCGCAGCATGTGCTTATAAAGTTGGATATCCGGAACCACCGTCAGGTCTCCATCCTCAGACCAGAGCGTGGTCGATTCAGCATCTACAACATCCGTCTCATTCTTCTCTACGGCTGCAATCCCGCATTGCGCAGCTTTCCATACCGTCCGTTGTGAACACTTCAGATCTGCAAAGTACAGTCCTGTCGGCGCGCAAGTCTCGAGCGGACAGTCCTTGCCTCGAAACGCTTCAAATGTCGTTAAAACAACGGACATGGGCTCGGTACAAGGCGTATAAACCTGAACAAGACGCCCGGTACTTGTCATGACAAGTCCCGAGTCCCATAACAACGCCCGCTGGAGGTACCCCGACAATGCATTCCACTTGACAGACTTCTCCGCCAAACGCTTCAGCAGCGAAGAAGGAACGTTCAATAGCACAATTTGCGGTACGTTATCCATTCCTTCATCCGCATGCTGCTGCTCAAGATCGTATAACTTGGATGCAACATCTAGAACCGCGTTGACGCGGTGTGACAGCAGACACGTCGTCAGTAGTAGCAGCACAGTCCTATTTTTAGTATTCAGAGCTTCTTGGTGATACTGTTGCTGCTGCATTTGCTGTCGCGACGAATTCTATTCTGAGCTCTACTGAAGCAAGTGCAGCATGTAACACATGGTCGAAATGGGTACGTTTGCTATATGAGACAAGAAGAGCACAGTCAGTCAGTCAGTCAGTCAGCGGTTCATTCTCCTAACGTCTTTTCGTCGGTAGTTAGTGTATCATTGAAGTGGCTCCTGTTTCCAATAGGTGCGTCATTCACGTACCGCACGCTAAACTAGTGGTCTCACCACAGCATCTCCACCATCCATTCGTTTCAAGATCTCTTCGTCCCGTTCATCTCGAGATGGCGCCCCTGACGTTTGAGCAGAAGGTGGCGCAACTGAAACGCGAGGCAGAGCACTACGCCGACTACTTGAGCGACGAGGAGGTGGAGAATGAGGTGATGATCAAGGCTCATGAGGAGGCGGACTTTTGCAATGATTTTAGTATGGCTGTGGTCGTAGGCGGACTGCCCGTGGTGGACGAGTCCAAGCACGGCAAGCTACTGAACGTGGTGAAGAAGATCTTTGGCCAGGTGGGCTCGGTCGTGGACATTGACATGCCTTTCGGAGATGATGGCAACACGACGGGCTTTGCTTTTGTCGAGTACGAGCAGGAGGCGCACGCGAATGACGCTGTGCGGACGATTAACAGCTTTGCATTGGACAAGCGCCACACGATGAATGTCAACAAGTACGAGGACATTGAGCGCTATCTGAAGACACCTGAGGAGTTTGTCGCACCGAAAGTGGACAAGTTTGTCGAGCCAAAGAATCTCAAGTCGTGGCTTACGGACCCGTCCCGTCGCGACATGTTCGTGCTACGCCATGGCACGGAGACAGAGATCTTCTGGAGCGACAAGGGCGAGGTCGAGCTCGACTATGCTGGCGACCGGGAGAAGACGAACGGCAAACAATGGTGCATGCAGTACGTGTTGTGGTCCCCTCAGGGCACGTACTTGGCTACCTTCCACCCTCAGGGCATTGCTCTCTGGGGTGGTGACAAGTACGAGAAGGTGGGACGCTTTGCCCACAAGAAAGTGAAGCTCGCGATGTTCTCGCCGAATGAGAACTACCTCATTACAGTGAGCGAGACGGAGCAGGAGTCGGCCATTATCATTTGGGACGTCAAGACTAGCAAATTGCTGCGTGCGTTCTCAGCTGGCAAGCCAACGGGTGCCAAGGGCGAGGTCGTGCAGGGTCTTATGACCCCGTTCAAATGGAGTGCTGATGATAAATACGTTGCGCGTCGTGGCACCGACGTCATCAGTGTCTACGAGCTTCCTTCGATGAAGCTGCTCGAGAAGAAGTCGCTCCGTGCTGAGGGGGTGCATGACTTCTTCTGGTCGCCGACCGACCCGATTCTCGCGTACTGGGCGCCAGAGGGCAATAACGTGCCCGCCCGAGTGTCACTGGTAGAGCTGCCGTCGCGCCGCGAGGTGCGTCAGAAGAACCTGTTCAACGTGAGCGACTGCAAGCTGCACTGGCACCCGAACGGCACGTTCTTGTGCGTCAAGGTCACGCGTCACTCAAAGTCAAAGAAGACTATGTACACGAACTTTGAGCTGTTCCGTGTGCAAGAGCAGCTGGTGCCTGTTGAGATGCTCGAGGTGAAGGACAACATTGTCGCGTTTGCGTGGGAGCCCAAGGGGACGCGATTTGCTGCTGTGCACGGCGAAGGCCAACAGCATCTGAACGTGTCGTTCTACGACATGGATGGCGGCAGCAATGTGGCCAAGGAGGTGACGCTCTTGTACACGCTCAAGGACAAGGCGTGTAGCCATCTGTATTGGTCGCCACTAGGCAACAACATTGTGCTCGCTGGTCTCGGTGAGATCAACGGCCAGCTCGAATTCTGGGACACTACTGAGCAGCAGAGCATCACAGTGCAGGAGCACTTTAAGTGCTCCCATGTCGAGTGGGACCCGTCTGGACGTGTGGTCGCCACCGCCGTGTGCCAGCCGCTGGACAATTCGTACTACAAGCTCACGATGGACAATGGCTACAACTTGTGGACGTTCCAAGGCAAGAAGCTCGTGGAAGAGAAGAAGGACACGTTCTTCCAGTTTCTGTGGCGGCCTCGTCCACGCACGCTCCTGTCGGATGCGCAATACAAGAACGTCGTGAAGAACCTCAAGAAGTTCGAGAAGCGCTTTGACCAGATGGATCGGCTCAAGGAGCGGGAGCGGGTGGCAGCCGAGAATGCAGAGCGCAACAAGCAGGAACAGGAGTTCCACGAGTTGCTGCAGAAGCGTCTGAGTACAGCTGCTGAGCGACGTGCCGAGTACCTCTCGCTGCTGGGCGGGTACGACAGCGAGGACGAGAACGAGTACATTGTGCAGAAACACACGTACGATGACGTGCTCGAAGTGAAGGAGGAGGTTATGCGGAAGTGAGCACGGACTGCTGCGGCATATTTAACGACGCCAATGTATGTGCAGCGAGGCGTTTCGTCTCGTTGCTTGACTGAGTGTGCGTCGTTGAGAGCTGCTGGAGAGCGTCTCACTCCTTCGTAGCTAATGGTAACGACGCGTCCATACAAAAGAGAAGGACGAGACGACTCGCTAATTTGTCGCTTTTATTCAATGGACGTATTATGACGAGGGGAACGGCTCTTTTCGCACGTAGGACGTTTGTGGAGCGTTGGCCCGCTTTGCCACTGGAAGTGAACGGCTGGAAGTGGCGCAGGCTACAGCTGGAGCCATTTCTGGAGATACACACGACAACATTTGTGGTCAAGTGCGCCTGTGCCCAGAACGACGCGGACATATGTGGCCAATCAGCTTGCGTGCTCCACGTTTGCGCTGGACAGGGCCTGGGTCTCGATCGAATGTAGGTGAAGCTGGAGAGTCTACAGATTCTGCGTGTTTACGGCGATCGCACGGTGTATACACGTACAGGGAGGTGCTTTTTTTCACTATTACTAACTGGAGCTGGCAAATTTGGGATTGCTGGAACATCGGGAAAGAAAGATCTTTGCGACTTTTCGGAAATCTAAGACGTTGGACACACGCTATTCGCGAGAATCTTTTCAAATCACTTGTCAATACGTGGCGCTTATGTTCCTTTCAGCACGGCTTGCACAGTTTGGTAGAAACGATAGTACACTAAACTGACAAGATTGACTGAGCGTCGAAAGCACCGACAAGACGTTTCGCTGCAAGCGCTCAGTTTACTGCAAATAACACACATATGGCGTGAGTGATGCACTTTATTTTGCGGCGAATATCGACTAGATTCAATTTAGAGAGTCCCGCCAGCGACCTTTCCCATGTAAAAGTGTGCAATATTACCCACGAGGGGGGACTCTATTCACCATATTCTATTGACTCAGCAGGTCACCGACCCGAAAAAAACAAAAGAAAAGGGAGAGAAAGTTACTCTCTCCAGATATTTTATTGTCAGTAATAGCATTCCGGTTCATCTCTCGAACAAGTTCACGAGAAAGATAACGGTTTCGCCGACCAATCACAGCAAACGCACTGGCATTGAGCGACTGCACCCCTAGCCGCCTCGTGGCCCTATCGCTGCCTCCTCTCCCTCACTTACTTTGACTATGCATGTCCTGCCTCTCCCAAAAACGACTTAATCGCTCCGGTCGCGTCAAAGTCGAATTTACCAGACACTGCAACAACAACAACAACAAGACCAACAACTATAACCTCTTATTAACCTACAAATTACACGATCAAATGGGTGTCAGCCACGTCGTCAGTACCGCTGTCCGGGAAGAAGCAGCATCGCCCACACAGAACATCGACCGCCAGACAGAGTCGCCAGTTCCTCGTACGTCGTGGTTCAGTCGCCATCTCCCATCTCACTTTCTTTCCATGTTAGTGTTTATCCTCACGGTCTTCTTCTTCTTTGCGTCTCTTGTGTGCTAGTCATTCTCCTCGACTGGGACGACACCATTCTGCCCAACACGCACTTGGCCAAGCTCAGTCTCTTTTCAGAAGACGAGGAGTTCGAGCTGCCAGAAGACTGTGTGCCCGTTCTAGAAGAATTTGCCAAGGAGGTGGAGAAGTTCCTCACGGCGTGTCTTAAGATCGGTTCGTGCTGTATCGTTACGAACGGTCTCACTGGATGGGTCGAGTCCTCTTGCCAGCGCTTTTTGCCCAATGTCGTGCCCCTACTGGAGCAGATGACCGTCATCTCAGCCCGCTCCAACTTTGAGCGTGTGCTCCCGGATCGTCCCATTGAGTGGAAGATTGCCGTCTACCGGGACGTGCTTGCCAAGCGCGGCTTGAATCAGGAGCCGGCTGTTGAGACCCGCGGTGTGTACGTCGAGCAGCAACAGCGGGAGCCGCAGCAGGTGATTGCTCTGGGAGATTCACAGGTGGACCGCTGTGCGATTCAGTACGTAGCACGACGTTCGCCCCATACTCAACTCAAGTCAATCAAGTTACTGGACAATCCGAGCATTATGCAGCTACAGAAGCAGTTGAATTTGCTCGGCGTTTTTCTCGTGCAGCTCAGTGGACACGACGAGGCACTTGATCTCGAGTTGTCCAATGAGATGCTACAGTAGATATTGAAAGAGGTGTTTCTCCGAGGCATCGACGAGCAGCCAGCGACAACGGTAATCACTCCAATGCATGCATCGACAGGTTTTTCCGTCGTCTTGGGGCCCAATACCGTAACTGCTGCCACCACCTTTCGTGTTTGAAAACGCGGAAGGTTGTACAATACAATTTTTAGGATTAACTCGGTTTCCACGTCTCTGACGACTGATCGATCCGGTGTTTGTATAATTTGCTGACAATACATTACCGTGTGAATAAACAACGCGTGCGAGCCAAGAGAAATACCCGTCAAAAAGCTGGTCCTGACCTGCTCCCCCCTGACATCGTTCTGTGGCCGCTGGATTGCTGGCGTGAGCCTCTAGCAATCATTCACTCTGCTATTGGTCAATAAAGAAAAGGCGTGTTCCGACGCGTCAAGCTCGAAAGATCAGCGTGATGGATCTAGAAGCGTCGTTATGTTGACTGAAGGTGGGCATCAAGACGCAGCAAAGTGGGTTTAGTAGCATTTCATTGCTTCGCTCGTAGGAAAAAAGTCTCGCCACCGAACTTCGGAATCGAATCAGCCGTATGAGAAGCAAAAAACCACTGAGCTACCGAGCGCTAGTAGATCGATCGCCACCACTGACATTGCTAATAAAAAGGTGTCGATAGCTAAAGCCGTTGAAGCCGCGGGTTTAGTCAAGAGACTGAAGAAATACCTCTTGGTAGTCGTCGGCTTGGTGGTTCTTGCTGGACTGTTCGTCCTGTGTATAGTGTGTAGACCTTCTATCAGACCAACTACATTGCCAGAACTGTAAAGCTAGGTGCAAGCGCAGACAGTCGAATGCATCAGGAACGGTCACAATGCAGGTCTCACGCGTTCGGGAGGTCGGATATCCACAGAACTGTTCCGAGCAAGCTTGCGTTTTCGACTGAGCTTGGACTACTCTATTTCCTGAATTCAGAGCGTGAGAGCGCACTTTCGTTTCCCACTGCCGGACCTTTCATAACGCACTCTTCACGCTTTTCAATTGCAATAACCCGAGTGCGTTGACTGCTGTACGGTTGACATTGCCGTGGCTAACACATTCTGCATGACGTCCTTGATGAGCAAGTAGCTGCAAAGGGGTGTGTGTGGGTGCTTGTAGAGATGCCACTTTTGATAATTACTGTGCTATCATTCTCTCAGATTACGCAGCTCTTGAGTATTTATCACAAGAACTCCTCGCACGACAGCGACGCGTGACAAAAAGTGGTGCATAAGTCAGCCGTCACTTTCCACCGATCGCTGCCGCAATATCAAGTGGTCAAGTACCCGACGTCGGTATACTGGTCCAATCAGTAAATCTTCATAGTATACTTAAACAGAATACATGAGGTAAAACCCGAACTGTTACTTCAGCACACCACCACCCCACAAATTTCTTTTTGACCAATCCCGCACGTCCTCCACTCGTCACCAGCAGTATCTCCGTCAACTATGACGACCATGTCATCGCCCTTTGTCTCCAGCCTGCGCACCTCTTTAAACACAGCAGCAGCAACAACCGTAGCCACTTCTGCTTCCTCTGATAACAAGTCCGCCATGCTGTCCATGTTCTCCGGTCTGGAGTTGGCTCTAGACGGCAGCTGCGCTGTTGTATCAAGCAGCAAATCTGCCGCCAAAGATCTGCTGGCCTCCAAGAGTACCGAACGACAGGCAGAGGTTGAGTCAATAGCTGCACAGGCGCTCAAGAGACAGCAACAGAAGGAACGACAAAGGCTCGAGGAGAAGGAGCAGCCCGTCACAGCGTTATGTCAAGCTATGGCCTTTTTTGCTCAGGAAGTTGACGAGCACGAGTCATTTGTGTCGCGCTCGACGAGGCGGCGACACAAAAGTAGCAGTAAGAGGAACACGCGAGTCGGAGCAGAGACTCTTGGCGCTCCTCGTGGCCGTCGCCACCGACAGGTAAAGTACAGTCGGGTGTAGTAGGGCGCAGACTGAAACCTGTGATGCTTGAAAAAAACTCCATTGCGTCATTCTCGCGACCGTCTCTTGTCATCTCTCTCCAATGGAATACCAGAGTGCTCCGAATACCGTTTCTATCCTCCACGAACAACGAGTCGCTCGTTCAGCAGACCAATCAATCAAATGGATCGCGAACTCCCGCCGCAGAAGCAGCGACAGCAGGTTTGTCCACCTCGCCCCTCCCCTTCTCTCCTTCTGTCTCTCTCTCTATCAGTCTCTCATTCTTATGGCACTCTCTTCATGTCGTTTCCAGCAGCGCAGTAGCAGCAGTCACAGAAGCACCTCTACCAGTCATCCTGCAGGGACTTCTCGGAATGCAATGCCAGGTCCTTCACGAGCGTTCCGGAGCTTACAGCAGCGACCTCATAGTCGTGCGACAGCTCCAGTACCTACTGCGGTAATGTCCAAGACGCCTTCCATGCTGATGCGTGGAGCAGCAGGAGGGGGAGAGGGACCTCCTCCTCCTCCTTTTGGGACCTCCTCATCGTCGAAAATGCTTTACGAACCTAACGTCCACTGTTTACGCACTCGGTCGAGTGTTGCCAGACCTTTGGAACGAGACCATCGCATACAAGCGGAGAACTCCAGCCCCCGCGAGATGTCACCTTCTGCAACATTAGACCGACGCAGTAGTTCAAGAATTGGCTCGTTGAGTACGCCACGACGACTATATAAACCCGCTGCAGTACAGCAGACCAAGATTTGTCCGCCGTCTTCTTGTGTGAAACTCATTACTCCCCAGATGCAGTTTGCAACGAACTTGTCGACGCAATTAGGAACGTGCTTGGAACTGATAAACTTTACAGTGGTAGGTGTGCTCGGGTTCGATGGAGTGGGCAAATCCACAGTGCTGTCTCTTTTAGCTCGGAACGACAAGATGCGGGAAAATCGATTCAAGACGCGAAGCTCAGAGTCGGTCGTCTCGCATTGCCATGAAACCACGGGAGTCGATCTAGCTGTCTCCATGGTCGGGGGGTCTGGCCATCCGACGATTTTGTTGGATACGCAGCCTCTACTGAGTAGCTCAATGCTTGTCGACTTGCTCGAGAGCAAGGAGTCACATCGAGTTGGCGCGATGACGCCGGAACAACAAGTAGAAGCTGCATCGTACCAGATTGCTGTGTTTCTCTGTGCAATCTGCCACTACGTGCTGGTTGTTCATGACGGATTGGCTTTCCAAGTCTCTGTGTATGAACTGCTTTGCAAGGTTAAGCAGAAGTTCTCGCAATGTCGACTGCCGAGTGTATCCGGCAACAGCCAGAGGCACGCAGCGCAGATACTTTTCGTAGCTAACAATGTTGCAGATTCCGAGTTGCTGTACCGCGAGAGCGAGTTGTTATCTGCTCATGAGCGTGCCCTCGAAGCAGCTTGGTCGCAGTCGTTGGTTCGTGTTCCATACAAGGTGATGGTGCACAACGATCCTGCAGACGACGATAGTGGTTCACTCAATGTGGCGTCATTCGTCTTGCCGCATAGACAGCAGCAGTGTATGTACCAGGAATCGTCAGGGACGTCACTTGCAAGTGGACACAAGGAGGAAGTCGAGGACGAGACCAAGTCGAACACAAGTGGTTGTATTTCCAACGAATACGCAGACTTTGATGATGCAGCGGACGATTTCCAGCGCTTTGTGCTGAGTTTACCGAGCTCTCCCTCGTTCACGCCGGGTTTGATTTCAGCGATGACACCAGGATCAAAGCCACTACCGCCTCCACGTCCACTCTCGCTGCGCGAATGGCTGAACAATGCTTCTCGCGTATTTGAAGGCGTACGCAAAGCTAGCTGCTTTACAGCCGAATACAATGCGTCACGTGACCACCAGTAAGCAAAATGCTGGTTCTTGAGGCGAAGGTTGTATACGTTTGACGCCACCTTTTTAGAGGGACCACAACTTTTACCGCAAAAGACCCTTAATGTAGGTATGTAAACTGCTGAATGTACATTGACCAAGCAGCCCAGACTACTTTCCTGACCGTTTACACGCCTTTCGTCGGATTTTTAGAAAACTCTGTTGGGATGGTTTCCACTGCATCATACACGTTCTTGCCATTTCAGCCTTTGCAAAGGCGTCTTCGTTTTCACTCAGCAAATGAACCTGTCAGAAGTGCAGAACCTCGTGTGCTGCAGATCTAGTTCGTATGATGTGTCCAGATATGCTTTGCTAAGCAACTATTGGGTCCGTTTGGATTCAATCACTAAGAATAAAAGGGAAAACAAAAATACCCCATTTCAATCACGAAAATAATAAAACCCCACGTCCTAGTATACTTAAGATAACGTGGCATACATATAACGACATTGTGTTTCGACAGAAACTTAACCTATTACAATCTCCATTTACACGCAATATGCTGATATGTCTGATGTAGCGGAGCTACTTAGCGCTCCTGAACAGAGGAAGTCTTAGACTCAAAGAGTCTCTTAGTTACAACAAACTAACAACGACGTACAGTCGTTCAAGCGTACAAGATCAACAACCAGTTCCGATGAGATTACGATTCCCAGTATCACACACTAACTAGTCACTTCTAGTTAAACAAGAGTTAGCGCCTTCACAAGGTTAATGCTTCTAACAACACACTACGCCTTTACCAGGCACTTGTGTCCAACGATTCAAAAGGGGAACTAAACTTTATTTATTCTTGAACAATGGCAACAAAACCATAAAACCTTGTCTGACTTCTACATTGCAATCCTATGACAGAAGTCTTATCCCTTATCGCTACCCGATAAGTTGTGGTATTACCGTAAGTACATGGTACTAATAATGTAACCCTCAAATCCACCAATATTTACTTGGTGTGGACACACAATGTAATCGGTTCAACAACCGCCGTGTAATCCCGTTACATCCTCCCCCACCAAACTGTCGATACCCCTGTGTCGACAATTCTCCTACTGCTCTTTGAAGTCTCGAAGCTCTGGTCCTGACCATCGTGATCATTGTGTTTACACCACATCTCAAAATAACGGAGTCAAAGCCTTCGTCTAACACCCTTGATAAATTCCTCGAAGAGGGTATGGTGGATTACGAGAGTGACAACGTCGCGTCAAGTTTCTATGGCCCGCCTCCAGCTACGCCACCGGCGCGTTAAAGCATGCGCGTCGCGCCTAATCCATTCGTGGAACGCAAGGAGGTGTCTTCACCCCTTGCACAACGTGCAGTCGTCGACCCTGCGTTGGGTTTCTTGAACAACACACTTGATGAAGATCAAGCTCAATATCTTCAGTCGGTCGATGACCGCAGGCGTCAAGCACAAAGTGTAACCACAGGGTGTGTTCACAGTGGTTATCGCTTCACACAACCGAGTGTGGATGTACACATTCGTTAGACCGCCGGACAGGCACTCGCAACATGTGTCATAGGACTCAAGGCTTTTACAGCCACAGCACTAGCGAAGAGGGAGGCTCTCAGAGCAAGATACCTGGGGGTCGAGTGTATGACCGGTCAAGATTACCTCGATAGGCTAGATCTGGAATCACGAGGTGCATCACTGTCCGCCATGCGGACAATTCCTGTCGTCCTCTTTCCTGGTGAGACGGAGGCGGGAAATGATGTCGTCTTTACGCGTTGGGTTCACAGATATCATCATCTACCAAGATTATGGAATCTCCAAGACAGCACTTCACTTGCTAACGTTCGGCTTGAGCGAAAGCTGCGCTTTGATTTTGCTACACAAAAGGCCAAAGGCCAACTGCGATCGTTCTATCGCACCCGTTATGCTGCGGCAGCTACGTACCCGCACTCCAGTGTACCTGCTGCTGCAGCCCCCTCCACTCCCGCACCGACTGGTGGGAAGCGGTATGGGTCGACTGACCCCAAAGACGACGTTCAAAAGCGTCAGCGGCATGCGGACAATCCTGCTACAGTGGAACTTCGTACTCCCACGAGTTCTCCGACTCCGGGTACCCTCGCCGCTGTACCAAGTACTGGTACTGACCGTCGCGACAACGTCGCTGCAGGATTCTATCAACATGGTACTGTTGATCTCCTTGCTCGTCAACTAGAGCAGGCGCTGGTCGGTGAATCTCGACGCGTCGTTGACCATTCAGTGCACGAGGTGCAAAGTCTTTGTGACCGAGTGGCGCGTCTTGAAGGACAAATGAATCTTCTCTTTAGGGTACATCGACTTGTGGCAACGCCAACTCGTCCAGCGCAAGCGCCTCGTGATCCATTCGCGACGGATCATGGTAAGGCTTAAGCAAGCTGACGCAAAAACGCTGGGTATGCTCGCATCTTACATCGAAGGTTGAGCGTATACTATAGGCCTTTCTTGCCGCAAGCGTAAATGGCCCAATGAAGCGAGGACGAAGCTTGGATTTATAGACCTCTGACACCACCTCGGTAGGCAAATTCTTAGAGTTAGGTTATACAAGGTCTCCAACTTCATAAATATCAATACACTTTCTGCCTTTGGCATCAGCTTAATCCTTTTTTGTCCTGGCTATCAGCCATTTCGTCACGTACATGTATTAAAATATTCAATCGCGTAGCGAGAAAATCGCTCACCTGTTTCTGAACAGTAGTTGGGCTGACATCAGCAAGCCGATCGGCTATTCCTCCCCCATCAATCCCATAATCACAGAGTGTAGCGTTAACGGAACGCGTGGGTGGTTGAGACCATTCACGTAGAATGGAGTAAAGTCAGTAGAGCGATAAACAACGTTGTCTAACGAAAACTCGACGACAGGGAGCATAGAGCTCTAACGTCTAGGCGTATCAGCACAAACACTGCGCAAAATGTCACCAATGACACGGTAAGCCGTTCAGTTTGACCCTCGGTATGCGGATGATCCGCTGTGGACATGTACAATCTATTGCATTGCACCTTGAGGAGGGAAGTCCAAACCCTGCCAGTGAAACGTGGATCACGATCAGACACACGCCACAGACAAACCGTGTTGACGAGACACACGGTCGATAAACAGCTTCGCAGTACCCTCACCATCGATGGAATCAGAAGCAGCCGCTAAATATGCCATATTGCTCAAACGGTCAACAAAGACGACAATACCAGTGTTGCCTTAAATCCTTCTGTAGGCCGAGCAAAAATTCCATACAGATGGACTCCCAACACCCAGTGAATACAGGCAAGCTAGCAGGCGGTGAAATCGCATGTGCTGAGGGTATGACACGTTGACACGTTTCACATGTACGCACATGTGTGCTCACAAAGTTGTACAGCTTGGGCCACCAATACGTCTGGCTAACTGAGCTACAGGTCTTCTCACGATCGAGATGAACGCTCAAAGCAGTTTCATGTGCCTCAAAGAGGAGACGATACTTCAAGTCCTTATCATGAGGACCAACGATGCGAGGCACAACCTCAACACCCGTGCAACGGAACAAAAACTCACCATCGATGACATGTCGATGTAGGCTCGCACGTAAACATGCCAACAATCTGATATTCGAGTCTTTGCACCTCTCTCTCCCAAGAGCATGTAGCAATGCTACATATTGCTCATCACATGCATATGCCGCACAGATTAGATACACAATGGATGACGAAAAAGTCGCAACATGAGCAAAATCATAATTAGGTATGCGTGACAACGCATCAGCCAAAGAATTTTGCTTGCCCGGATCATACTTCAGCTCGAAGTTGTATTCAGCAAAGAATGAAAGCCAGCGGGCCATGCGCTTTGAGAGGTGAAGCGACTGTTTCGCAGTCCGCAACGACGCATGATCTGTGAAGATCACAAAAGATTTTGAGCCAAGTAGGTGGACTCTGAACGAAACAAGAGCATATTTCATTGCAAGCAATTCCTTTTCGTGCACTGGATAGTTCTTCTCTGCAGACTTTAGCTGACGAGATTCATACGTAATGACTCACTCATGTCCATCGACATCTGTCTGCAATAAAGCGCAACCAATTCAAATATCAGACGCGTCACAGACGACACTAAAAAGGCCGTTCAGGGTCAAGTGATGCCAAAATCACCCAACACCAAACTGCATCCTTCTTGAGAAGATTGGTAATGGCCTTGCCAGGTCAGCGTAGTTTGCACTGTAATTGTGCATGTAATTAGCAAGGCCGAGCCATTTGCGAATTTCCTTTTGGTTCGACGGAACCGGCCAGTCAACAATTGACTTCACCTTAGCTGGATCTGCTCGAAGGCTATTCTCTGTGATGAAGCACCCGAGAAAGGGGATTTCTTCTGCACCAAAAACGCATTTCGATGTATTTTCATACAGCTTGTTCGTGCGCATGCACTCGATCACTGCTCGTAAATGTTCAATTTGATTGTCTACATCTGACCTACCATGGTCTGCACGGCTATGGACAAATTTGTCATCGAAAATAGCTTGGCGCATATCCTCGGTGAGGTCGAACTAGTTTCTTCAAAAGGCGATCAAAGGTAGCCGGGGCATTAGACATTCCAGAGGCATGACAAGCCGCTCCCAAGCATACCGCTTGAAGTACTAACCGCTGTTAGCGGAATATCACTCGCTCGCATGGGCAATCGACAATGCATATTGACCAAATCGAGTTCACTGGACATGGTGCAACATACCATAGCGTTTTGAAGGATATAACATCCAGAAAGGCTTCTGTACCGGTATAGTTGCTGCATTAAGCTTATTGTAAGCATGCAATATGCGCCACTTGCCATTTGGCTTTGACACAAAATGTCGGCGTCGAGTTCGGAGACTTGCTCTCACACAACATGCTAGCCGCGTGCTTTGCACGAAAGAACTCGTCAATGATGTCACACTGGTACTTTGGTAGGGGCCATTGCCGTGTCACACAGTAATTGGTTCCAGGAACCAGGTCAATTTCATGACGTACGCCTCGATTAGGAGGCATAGTGGAAGGTGGA